CCTTCTCAGCTTCGCATCGAAGCTAAAAAACACATCATAGTAAAATTAATACCTTCTCAGCTTCGCATCGAAGCTAAAATTTGAATGGACCAATAACAACTTCAGGATAAATTATGATTGAGTTACAAACATTTCTATACATTGAAATGGTATGCAGCCTGGATAGTTATTTCAAAAATTATGTTGCGAAAAAAAAATAGTTTAGGATTCTTCAAATTTTTGTCACAAAAAAAGAAGAAAAAGCATATAGTCTTTATGGAAACTTTATGATAGTTGTGGTAAAAAAGTTCTTTTAAATATTCGTATTTATACAAACATTAGGAGAAAAATTGAAGCCGAGAAATGACTTGTGATAAAAATTACAATATCTGTGTCTCACTGAAACATTAATAAAATAAACTTAAAGTAAAACACTGGTCCAAAAGTTGTTATCATATGTAGCCGTTTGAAAAAATAAAGTTAATTCCCTTATAAGATATTTTTTTTTTTTTTAGAAAATATACAATCTGTACCTACATTAGTACAATAAGCATATGGTTTGATGATATGGATTTAACAAATAATAATTTACAATTGATATATATACATGATTGGAGAAACCATCCAGTGATGGAGCTCCAGTATATAAATATATAATTTTTATTTTTCAACTAATTAAGTGGTTTATAACAAATGAACTGTCATGTATGTATAAATAGACAAGATGATCCATTTATCGTAATTCACTCTATTACTCGCAATATAAATATGATACTTAAAAAAAAATTTTTTCTTTAATTACACATATTTCTTAATTTATTAATTATTAAATACTTTTTTCGGTTCATCCTTTATACCTTAAAAGAGTGTCAACTTTATTTATTTGAATGCCAACATAAATATTTAACTTGTCAACATTTCCTTAGCTTTTATTTCAATTATTTAAGGTTGTATCTTTAGTAAACACTATTATATCAAACAGAAAGTTACTTGATTTAATTAATTAACATACCAGATAAGTCCTTCAAATATATTTTGAATAATAAAGTAGCTTTGAGATACTACAATCATAAGTGATACATGAGTCCATGCAAATAAAGAAAACTGTTTCATGTAGTATTTTCGTACTAAAGATAGTACAAACCACACAAGACCAGCTATGTATAAACTGAATGAAACAAACCGATGATAAGTAACTAACATTTTGAGGTTTTCCTGTAAAATTCAATTACAATACAATAAATATAACTACAGCACAACTATGAAAATTTGTTTTTATGCAATAGTAACTTACAGTTTTATTAACAACTACTGCAAAAATATCAACAAGACTTTCTCCATAAAAGAAATAATTTGAAGCCATCAAAAAATACCAAGACAAAGAACGGAACCAAGGGAGCCCATGAATACGGTATACAGAATATCCAATATTTATTATTTCTGCAAAACATTTCACTTGAACTACTAAAACCTATACATAGGAAAAAAATATAATGAATATTTTTTAAGGTTTTATTCTAAAAAAAAAAAAAAAGAAATTTACGAGGAATAAAAACTGGTTTTAACTTAATTCATAATTTCATTTCACGTCTCTACTCACAACGTTTTCTTACTTTCACTTCTCCTTCCGGTTTAATATTAATTAAACCACACTTCCTACCGCGACCTCCTACAGGGTAGCTACCTTAGTTCTCTTCTTTTTAATATTTACATGAGCAAAATTAGCCTCTCCCACACCTCTAGTGGTACTTTCTCACTTTTCTATGCTAATGACATCGTTCTTTTTTCTTCTCATATATCCATTCATAATGCCCTCAACTCCCTTAATAATTCACTTGCCGTCCTCTCTAACTCTCTTCAAATTCATTATTTTGTGGCTGCTCCATTGAAAAGCCAGTTAATCATTTTCACTAGAAAACGCTTACCATCAGTTTACCCTATAATTACTCTTGATGGGATAACCATACCCCCCTCTAAAAGCATTCTTGGTGTTCTTAAGTCTACTCCGAGCCATAGTATTTTTGTTGAGTGCTCCTCTCCCCCCCTCGAAATCCGCTGTCGCTTGCTTGCTAATAAATTTCTCCTAAAATCTCTCTCCACCCTAACCATCATATCTTCTCCTTATACTCCGAATTAAGTAATTGTTGCCGCTACGTGCCTAAATCACTGCCAATTTTAGCCTCAGTATGCTCTTCTCTGTCACCCATGGTCTGCCACATTTACAAATCACACTCCAGATTACCTTTATTTGATTGTCCTCTAGTTGCTCTTACAATAGCTCCCATAGTGTATAATTAAACGTGTTTCCTCGGCTTCCCTCCTTCAATCCTCCTTTCTCTTCCTGCAACTTCCATTAATAATCTCTTCAAAGATTATATCTCAGCTAATTTTCCGACTAAATGCTTGATATTCACAGATGGTTCTGTATCAACTAACTCGGCTGGTTGTTCTTTCTTTATTCCTGAACTTAATATTTCATACTCAGCTGCACTCCACCCTTTTTCTTCTTCTTTTACCACTGAATGCCTTGCCATTGTTAATGCTCTCATTTTTAAATCTTCTACTTCAATTAATGAATTTGCTATTTTTTCTGATTCTCTATCTTACCTACTTGCCCTCACTTCTAATCCATTTTACTCTCATCTTTCTCCTTACATTCTTATTATTATATCACTTATCTCCTTAATTCGATCACAAAATAAATCTATTGTTTTTCACTGGGTGCCGGGCCACGCCAGTATATTAGGTTACGAAACAGCTGACCGTCTTGCTACTTCTACTTCCCCCTTCTTTACTTCTTCTAGCCATAATATTCCCGCTTCTGACTTTCTCCGCCTCTTTCGACATACAGTTCTTCAAGCCTGGCAGGACAGCTGGGCTACAATAAAATTGAAAACGGTATGTTGGTAACGCTCGATTTCTCCATCCATTATACATTCTCCATGGTTTCATAATCTTGACTTATCCAGAAATATAATTTCTCAGTACTCAAGACTTAGGTTAGGTCATACATAATCTTCTGCCTTACCATGCATTTCATCTTTCCTTAAATTCCGTTCCCTTCTGTCCCATACATGATAGTGAAGCTCTATGCGATTTTTCTCATCTTCTCTTTGATTGTCCTGCCCTAATTAACAGCAGAAATAAACTATTCAGCCTCTTAGCCTCCCACAATATTAATCCCCCTTCTGTAGCTAATACTCTTAATTCCCGTTCTTCCTTTATTATTATTTCAATCATATCTTTCTTGAGGAGTTCCGGCTTTGTCATTTAATCTCTCATTATTTTATTTTATATTCTTCTATTTACTTATTTATTTACTTTCTCTCATCCTCCATTATTTCAAATAAAAATTTTTAATTTAGTAATTCTTTTAGTTGTACTTTTAAATCTCTATTAACAATAATTTTAATAATATTTAATTTTTTCTTTATTTTTGGGTATACTAACAATTATTGTCATATTTGTTATACCATTATAACATAGCACTGTTACTGTTATACTTTTAATTCACTTATTTTTTTCTTTGTTTATAATTGCTAAATATTATTTTAATAAAGGCTATTTAAAAAAAAAAAAAACTTAATTCATATAAAATTTATTTTACAATAATAGTGTTAAATACTAAGTGTTAGATAATAGCCCTAGATGGTATATTTATTAAAAAGAAAAAAAAATTAAACATTTTTATATTATCTTCATAATATAAGTAAACATAATAATTGACAATTTCTAATTGCACTAATAAAATAACTTGAAAACTATATTAAAAAATTATAGCTTAACACTTTTAATAATACAAAATCTTAAATTTTAACTTTCTTTGTAGTGTTAGGAAATAAAGAAGTTAATTAAAATTTATATAAAATAAGATAAATTTTAAATGAAATGCATTACTATTAATTTGAAAAATAAATAAATAATAATTAAACCTTGATCCTATATTCAAAAAAATTATATTAGAATTTGATAAAACCAATAATAACACTTATTATTTAATAATAGTGAAACCATAATATGGTAGTATTGATTATTGAAAATTATATAACTTGTATAAAACAATATTTTTCACATGAGTATACTTACAGCAATCATTAAAGCTAATGGTCCACCATAACATAAAAGACAAAACAAACCAATCATTAACCAGCCAAAAATGCCTCGAATTATCCAATTTCTCCACCTAAGATAATAAAAAATAAAATGTTTATAATTACAGAATTCAAATATTATAATTTTAAAATTAAAATAATAACCTTTCTGATATCCCACTAAGTAATTTTTCTAGCATAAACGGCATTTTATTTGTACCAGATGGTATTTTTGCTGAGAGATCAATGTTTTTGTCATCTTCAGAATCATTATCTTCTTTCTAAAAAAAAAAATTAAGTAATTAAATTTCTATCTATGAATAAAAAAAATTAAAACTAAAATTAATTTGTTTGAAATTTCATTAAGTGTTAAAACTTGAAACAATCACGTATACCCAAATATGTTGTAAATCTAGTAAAAATGAAACATTTAAAGAATTGATCATTAGAGCTCAATTTAGACAGAAATTATGAAGTTTCGACGAATTGTAAATCAATAAGAGGTTGAATTGGGCCAAACTTAAAAAATATGAATAATAGGCCTTTCAGTGAAGAATTTGACAATGAGAAAAAATTTCTTGGATCTAATTAGGCTTATAATAAAAAATACTAGAATTGGATTAGTGGGATTGAAGAAACTATTCATGAATTGAATATTAAAGATTAAAATTAGACTGAACATAATTTGTTTCGTAACAAATCATATTTTCTATTTAATTATATTAGTATTGGAATTATTCTATAAAACTAGTTTATGATTTGAACTATACTAATTTAAGCAACTTATCTGACTAAAATTAAGCTAAGCCTTAGATTATCTTCTACCACCTACCCAAAACCAATCCAACCTTCTTAAGATAATAAAAACATAACATAGTCAAATAAAACTTTTATCAAAAATAATTAAAATGTTATTAAAGCATTAATAATATTAAGTTTAATACTTGTTATATTTAGCTTATTTGAATAAGAATTGATCACTTGTGGCTGATATTATTTCAAATATTAATTTAAGACTAAAAAATATTTAACACAAATAACTAAAAAATCACGATTACGTATTTTAATAATAATTTTACCATCATCATCAGTAATTACAAATAGACTTGTGTCACACACATATATACACTAATGTTTAGCACAGATTATGGTAACGTTCCCGAAATATGTATTTGTGATTTTTAGGTTATTTTTGTGGTTATGTTGTGTTGTGGTTAAATTTAACTAATTATTTGGTAGTTACAATAATTATTATATAAAGCAATTAATTATTAAATTGAACAATTACATAGTTAAGGATAATGTTATTTATTGAAGAACACAATAATTAAATTACATTTTTTTTTAATAAAAATTATACTAGTCTGTTTGTCATTAGTATATTTTTATTTTAATGTTTTAAATAAAATGTATTTATATAATTCTTTGTTATTAAATTAAAAAAAGCAACAAATTCTACTCTTTCATCATTCCTAAAAATTACTTCATCTTAATAAGAATTGTTTTTCCTCAAAATTTCTGTGTTCCAATATTTAGAGAATTATGGAACAAATAGAATTTTAACCAACCCTAAATAATTGGGATTAAGGTGAGGAAAAAGAAAAAGAATGGAACAAATAGAATTTATTAATAATTTTATAACTTATTGATTTGTTTACCTAAATGAATCAACAGCATATGAAATACTTTGTTTGGAGGGTACTCACTTAATATTTAAGAGTCAAACCTATGCATACTGGTGCGCATACTAGTTTTTATCATTCAGAGGCCTTTTAATAGACTAAAAAAAATTATTTTGTACATTTACACATCTTTTAACATTTTTATTATTATACTACTATATGTGATTATAAATAATAGTCATCAAATTTTTTATTTTATCAAGGAGTCCATTTTAGGCAGATTTTATGTTGAATATAAAATTATAACTATCACTAAGGCTAAGGTTTACTTGCACTTCTAAAATTTGTGTTAGTCATCTTGAATACATAAATAATAGATGGATACTTGTATTTGTTTTATTTTTTACTTAACAACATATTTTAAGTAGGGATTAAATAATGTAAGACATAGGAGATTACACTTTTCTTAAATAAAAATAAGGTTTCCTGATTATACAAATCTTGTATAAAATACAACATTATAATACAAATACATTCGTGTCAAGTGGTAGTTTAGGATGAGGGTGGCCAACCCCAAGTAGTTGGGATTAAGGTGAGGAAGAAGAAGAAGACAATACAAATACATATTTAATATGGAAAAATATAAAAAAGAATAAAAGACAGAAAATTATTACCTTGGTGTAAAATAATAATAATAAGTTTAAAGATAAGCAAGGCCAGGCAAGTAGGGCGCACTTAGGGTCACACACAAAAAAATTATGAGCAAAAATGATCATTTGGTTGTAAGCTAATTAAATTTGAGGTCCTGTATTTATAATTTATTCAGGACCTCACAAATCATAGTACACTGATGACTTGTAAGGGAGAAAATTAAGTGAACTTGTATATATTTAGTGCATCATCAGATAATTTATACTCAATAGTGTTAATTAGAAATTACAAAGGTTAATTGAAAATAAATTGATAAATAAGTAGGAAAATGTTTACATAAAGATCCCTGGATAAGGTGCATGTTAACAAGGTGAAGCATGGATATGAATTATTATAAGATATATTTAAATTATAAATGTTTTTTGAGTACAATTAAAATCTATAAATGACACCAAGGGGTGGCTATAAGTGTTTTAAGAGAACCTCAAAGAGTTACCTTAAAATTATAGATTATAAGATATACAATGATAATAATAGGTATTTAATTTAACATAGAAGATGAAGTTTGCTAATGTTTAACGAGATGATATAATTTGTAAACACATATTATCATATCACTATAATTTATTTATATTAGTGTTTAACATTTTTCTTTGTTTACCTTTTTTTTTTAATTATTTCTATGTTGAAAAAGCTATTTAATAAAATTTTATACCAAACTTTTATTTGACAATACTTATTAATACTACTAATAACTTCTATAGAACATAATTTAATTTGATAAATAGAAGTATTAATATACAAAATGTATCATTGTATTTTATAGAATAAGAGTAGGATTAAAAAAATGTTTTATCTATTTGTATAGTTTAAATAACATCATAAATTATTTAATATTGTTAATTACATTTATGAACATGTAACATTTTCAACCTAATAAAAAACCTACTTCAAAGTATTTAATTTCAATTTTTGAGAAAATATTTTAGCACTAACATTTTATATCAATACAATATAATTTGATTTAAAAAATATTATGCTAAACAAATATAAGTAATGATTCAATTAAACAAAATATAATTACACATTACATTTATGCCCATCACCATTTATATATAAGCTGGCTTTAAACTAAGTCATGCTCCTTTTAAGGCTTCATGTTAAAAATTGATTTTATAACTTACTTTACACCTACGATTACTATTTGATCGACTATTGAATGATACTTGGTTACCAAAACTATATGAGTTTGCATACCACTGTTTAGGATTTCTTAATTTTCTTAAATTTACATAAGCACTATATATTTTACGCACAGGTCTATAACGCCTAACCATAGGAGGTATAGTATTTGTTATAACATATGATTGACTATCATCTACCTGAAAATTGATCAATCAATTTTGCACAACACATCAATAATAAATTTTTTATTTCATATACTTCTTTTATTATATAAAAACTATATTTTTTTATAATTATGAATGTATATTTAAGAGTCAATATTGAGTATCTTTTTAATGTTTAAATAAAATAATGTGTAGTGTTTACAAGTTTTTTTAATTCTAAAACTAAGATAAAATTGTTAATAACTTTTAGGTCGTTATTAGATCAGACTCTAACTAAAAATATAGAATTATATACACATTTACAACTATCAGTCAATATTTTGATAAAAATTATAGGCATTGTAGATTTTACTATCTTTTTAATATTTTTTATTGTGTGAGGTTTTGAATAACTACACCAATTCTTGATATATTATGTTTGTGCCACTAATGGTGATTACATTTCAGATGATTTCCAAGTTCTTGTAATAGTATAACTACAATCTCATTAAGAAATTTTTGGTTCATATTTTCATACAAAGCTCATCGTCTCTACTATACTGTGATTGATTCAGTGTTTCAAAAAAAAAAAAGTAATATCAGTTTTAAAATACAGAAAAATGTTGATAAAATAAATGGATTAAGAATGATTCAGAAAAAACAGATACTTTCATATTTTATATTATGTTACACTTCAAAATATAGATAGCTAATTTAGTAGTATTCTATCTAGTATTCAATTTTCATTTAAATAAAGTCACAAAAATATAAATTAATAAAAATGGTCAGTTATTCAGAAATATTAATAATTAATCAGTTAAAAATTATTACCTATAAAAATACTTAATTAATTAATTTAAATAATATAACCTTATAAAAATAAAAGCATAATGTAAAATTAAAGATTACCGTTTCTTGATTATTTTTGGTAATTTCTTGTTTATAGTCTTTAACTTCATGGTCAATTTTATCTGGTAAATCTCCTTCTCCACCTTCTTTTTTTCTCAATCTTACTTCATTTTCAGACATTTTACCGATTTATGTATTACACCAGACTCATTTTAAAATATTCACAAGTTTAGGTAATTACATAATTAAATGTAATACTTAGTAAAACTTCTAAAAAATGATAAACAAATAAATAATATTTTTAATGTAAATAAAATAATTAATAGTACGATAATACAAAGTTTTTAGAAATTTATTTTAAGAACAAAATAATTCACACGACATTTAATACTATAAAGTAGTAAGTTTATAATAAAAAATAAATAAACTATAGTCAAAAATTATGCATTCATAAGTATGTATTCCAAAGAACAATGGAGAACGAACTGACAACTATGATTGCTTGTAATTTAATAAAAAGCTCTATAAGCTCTTTAAAAAAAATAATGATAACATATACATGATAAGACGCATGCGCTTTTGGATATTACAGCTGATACTACGTAATAGCATAGATTATAAACATTTTATATTTATTTTATGGTATGAGTGACATGGTCATAAATAGCTCTAATTAAAAATTTTTAGGAAAAGTTTATCTTACGTCGGTAAGCAATGTTGTAGCAAAACAACTAAGTAATTAAGTCTTATATAGTAATATTAATTATATATAGTAATTAAGTATTTATAGTAATAGACTATTTATATAAATATTTAACATAATAAATAACCTGAACGTATCATGTATATATGCAATCAATGCATCGCTTATACTTCAATAGTACATCTCAACATTTAACAAAATGAGATTTTTATCAATAATGATAAAAGTTTTTCTGAACATTTGTTTTTCTACGTATCTTTTTGCAAGACTCGTAGTTCTATTGATAATTATGAAAATAAAATCACCTTTTGTGTTAAAACGTGTATAATTCAAATTTGTTTTATGATCATTTTGAAAATCTAGAAAAACTGAGATACAGTATGTATCAGTTGGTCAGTATAAACGACGATTTACTTATATATAAACCGAATGCACCTAAAAATTAGGCTGTATGCAATTTTGTAAAAAAAATAAATATTCGGAGTTTTTATATTTTCAAATTAAAACTCTCCCAAAAAAATTATTTGGGATTAAATTGATATGATATATCTATTTCAATTTAATGTTTTTAAAATTATATTTTTTTTTCATATTACGCCTAAAATATTAGGTACTCAAAAGCAGTACCTTGTTTACAAAAGGGAAACGACCTGGAGCAGCTGCCCCAGTACGTTCCTGAGTCTTTTAAGAGCTTTATAGCCATTGAATTGATAAAACTCGAGTAAAAATGTATGTAATTTTATTATTAATTTATGTTCTGTTAATACATGTTCAAAGTTTTTTAAGGCAATTTTTTTTATTTTTTGCTCAACAAAAAGTTTTAGAACGGCATAAAATACAAACTGGGGCAGAGTGTTTAACCCCTTAATACGTCACTGCTCAAAAGATTGAATCCTAAAAATTACCGAATCAAAAAGACAAAAACATTAAAGGGCGAGTAAAATGTAATGAAAACTAATTCTGTCTTTTCTTGGTTTGGGTTAGTAGTACCACTAGAACAGAAATCCAAATGATTCTAAAACTATGTAAGTGTACCTATAATTAGTATGTGTGTCTATAATTTCATATTTTAACGCTGTATAATTTTGACTAAAAACTTCAAATTTACGAATAATCTTAAAATCACAAAGTCTTAGATAACAATGTTTGTTGCAATAGTACAGAATTATGGAAGCATAATGAGTAATCTTTATAATTCAATTGACTTACAACAAGATCGTATTTCTAAAAATTGCCGTAAGATACAATATAAGTACATCATATTATACAAGATTAAATTTCTTGTTCCGCTACTAAAAAATTTAATTTTCCATCTTTATCTTCAAATAATGCAGCTAGAGGTAGAGGTGTATTTTAAAGAAATTAGAGAAAGTGGTCATTGTGTCCAGACAGCAAATTTTAATATGATTTTTTATTTGCAAAAATGTTTTCCAATAAATATATATCTGTTAAACTAAATAGGTTTGTGATTATTCTTAAATTTCCGAATTAAAATGTAAAGAGTGATCAAATTAAAAGGTTTAAAAAATAGTGCATAATAAAGGTAATTAGAGCAAGAAAAATTCAAGAACATTAATTTCTATACACTTAAAGTATAGTCAGAATTTGGGCCAGTTAATAATATATATTATCATTTTAATCGTATCAATGTACATAACTATTAAAATGTTTACAAGTATTGTAAACATTACAAAAATAAAATATTTGTTCACAAAAATTAGGCAGTCCAGTTAGACCATGTGACGGTAATTCCATAGCGCATAGATATGTAATTTTGTCACAAAAAATTAGTAATTTCTAAAATTCATGAATGTTAAATTTGTAGTGTATTAAAATTATGCAAACATTAATTTTCATTAAATAAGTTTGGTAATTAAAGTTTTGTACAATTTTTTAACGATATCTTTGCTTGATAGTTTATTCAAAGATGTTTTTTCAAGTAATATGTAATGCAAGATAAATATTTTTTTAACAAATAAATGACGACACCAATAACGAAGTTTGAATGAGAAATGTGGAGGTTAAAAATGTATATTCGTAGGCCCCCCTCCCCCAAAAAAAATATTAATTGTGTTTGGGAAGACTGGGATTTATATTTATGAAACTGAATATGGAACTATAGCTGACCTTGTCAAATAATTGAAACTATGCCTATGTACACGTGTAGGTACAATTAGGAGGGGTGGGATTCTTGAGCCTAAATATTAAAGAGTTACATTAATTCTTAATTGAACTAAATAAAGAGTAAACGTAAAATACTCTTTAAAACATCAAGATTTTTGTCGTTAAAAATACTAAAATAAATATGAACGAAGACTCTTTGTTGAAGGAAAAACTTTTATTTGTTATGGTATTTGCCGAGGTTGTAAGTATACTACATAAAGCTATAGATAACATGACAAGTAAAAATATTTTGTCATCCCTTATGAGGCACCAAAACAATGTAATTTTTATCACTAGAACACCATTATTTGTGTGTTGTATTCATGATTATTACAATAATATCGAATATATGTAGCAATAATCGTTTGTTTTTAGAACTTCAAAGATATCCCAGTGACTAATAAAGCTTTCTATTTTTACTTAGACTCATAAATGTACGATCTTCTTAGAGTATTTGAATGGGAATAGGCTGCTGTACAGGGAAATACAATATGTAAGAGTACTGAATATAACGATGTGGCGCGTGTACTTAGCGTGCGACGGCGGCCGCGTCATCGGCCGGTGCCAAAATCAATAATCAGTATTGTTTATCGATTTTTTCGCTTTACTGCTGAAGCCGTTCTCGCCATCGTTGCGTGTCCAAACATTTTCATGCGGACTTTCAAGGAAGGTCACTTTCTGTCAGTTCTACATTAAACAATTATTTGATATCGGTAGGACGCCGCCGAACACCTAGGTAACTATGAAGTTGATAATGCGATTAAGGTGCCGGTTAGTAAAAAAAAACCGGTTGCTTTGCATTTCATCTATGAAACATTTTATTAATAATTGGAGTTAATTGATCGCTATTGTTACCCATCCGGTTCTATTAATGATTACCTATTTATTTCGTCATTAATTTGTATGGTCTTTTTTTCATAAATCAATTTGTATATTATAATTGCACAGTAAAATGTCTGAGTACATCGCACAGTAGTTCAAATTTTGAATTTCAAATAATTAATGATTTACATAAAATTACATTTTTATGCTTCAGCACGTAATTATTTTATTTTAAAGTGTATTTTTTGATGATCATATAATTTATTAATTATTCAGTACTTAAGAGTTAAATTATAATTGTTTTGATATTTTTGTTATAAATTCATTAAAACGTTATAAAAACGTATCAAGATTAAATTTAAAATGTTTTTGAATTTACTTATTTTATAACAAGTATATTATTAAAACTTATTAGATAACAATTCTTTAAAAGAATTCCTAAATAGTTATTAGCATAATAAAATAAGAGCTCGAAAATTGAAATACACAATTTTTTTTTTAATCTAATACTTTAATTTGTTGAGTGAAAGTTATAATTTATAAACTAATTTCTAAAAAAATATTTAGGACGAGCATTATGTCCAACATGGTTAATGCTGAAAATTATCAATTGAAGTGGCACAGTCATGGTGCTCACTTACATTCTACAATAGCTACATTACATCGAACTACGGCTTTTACTGATGTTACATTGAGTACAATTGATGGTCGCAATGTTTCTGCACATCGTTTTGTTTTATCAGCCTGTAGTGCTTATTTGCAACAAGTATTCCAAAATTGTGTATCTAATAATTTAGTTATTGTTTTGCCAGCTGATATTAGTTATCGTACTCTTTGTATACTACTTCAGTATATGTACAGTGGTGAAGCAACTGTTACTAATAGTCAATTGGATAGAGTACTGAAAGCAGGTGAAGTATTAAAAGTTAGAGGACTGTGTCGTAACAATGAAAATACTGTTGGTGTAGTACCAAGACAACAATCATCAGACAATAAAGATGAAAAAGTCAAGTCTAAAATTAAAGACATGCCTCTATCAATAAGGTCAGAGGCAAATGAAAATAAAGAAAATGAAAAAGATAAAGAAAATGAAGAAAATGAAATGAAAAAAGAAAATTCTGAGAATGAAGATCCAATGCAAAATGCTTTGCAATTAGAAATAACTGTTAAAGAAGAACCCTTAGAATGGAATGATAATGATCGCACAGAAATGACTATTCAACCGGTAAGATAATTTTTTTTAAATAAAAAATTGTTTTTAATTATTAATTCATGCTCAGGAACTCTTCTCCAATTATGATGAGGATGATGAAGAGGCAGACTCAGATTATTATGCGCCTTTAACTTGTGATATGTGTCAAGAAACATTTAGAACTCCAGCTCTTTGGGTAAGACACATTCAAACTCATGAACTAGGATCAATTACTGATATTCCTAAAAGAAAACGTCGTAAAACAACAGTAAGTTTTTATAAATATGATAATTAATTAATTCATTAAAATTTGTGCATAAACAGGATGATGATGATGGAGAATTGCCACCTTTAAGATGTGAACTTTGTCAAGAAGAATATCTGACACCAGGAGATTGGGTGAGACACATACAAAGTGCACATACAGAAGAACAGTTAGCTATCACTAACAGTCTAGCTAGTGGAGGATCTGGTGTAATACCATCAACTAAACGACCACGGCCTCGTATCATGAATGGTCGAAAAGTGTGTCCTATTTGTACTAAAACATTCCCATCACATGCAAGCATGTTAATACATAGTCGAACTCATACAGGAGAACGACCATATCAATGTGGTGTTTGTAATAAAGGGTTTAATGTAAAAAGTAATTTACTTAGACATATGAGAACTTTACATGATACAGTCATAAGTCCAAATGCCATGGTTGAGTATTGTAATGCTCAAGATGATGTTTCTCCTACTACATTGGTGATGCCAGATTTAAAAAATGAAAATGCAGGACAATAAGTTGTATTTATAAACTTAAATTGTTTCTTATACTTATACGTATCTTGTATTGTTCAAGGGTCACTTTAAAATATAACTTATTTTTTGGTTTTAACAAGTTTTATTTTTACATTCTTGCAATAATAATCTAGATAATGAAATTGATACTGTTAGTATAGATACATATTTTGTTTAATAATATATTGAGGATGTTAAGGTAGGATAGAACCTCTGTAGTATAAATGATTATGTGATTAATATACAATTTTTTTTTATTTGAAGAAGGTGATAAACCTTTTTTTACATATTCTCCCCCTCCAAAACCCTTGCACTGGCACAGATAAAACTATGCAAAAAAACAATGAATTATCGATGATGAAAAAATAATAATTAACATTTTTTTCTCTATAAATGTAACTTATGAGATGAATTATTTTAAATTGAAATTTTTTTTTATATATAAATAAATTAGTTGTTTTAATTCATATTAATAATACGAGAAAAATAAAAGTTTTTATAATTATATAAAATATTATTTAATAAATAATTCAATATCTATTATTTTCTTAAGATTTACACATTTAATTTTTTTAAAAATATATAATTATTTAATAGAATTTAATAATGCAAATTTTACATAATTTAAACTATTTTTAAAATCAACTATGTAATAATTCTAAACATCTGTTAATGAGTTTAAAATTTTTTTATATAAAAACAATGATAAAACCATCATTGTCTTCCTTCATTTTAATGTTATTTAAAAGCAGATAATATAACATTTATCTCTTTAAAAAGTATGTACAAAGTGATGTAAAAATGTAAAGTAATTTTTCTATTATAATCAATATTTATTTTTTACTTTATAGCTAATGACATATTTATAATGTAATTATAATTATAGCTGATGTTCAAAGGTTTAGTATTAAAACATATACTTAAAATGGATGCTCAGTAACTTCGTATATTTGTGATTATACAAAATGTACCTATGTAGTTTTTATTTTTTACTCTTCATGTAAATATTAGTATAAAAAAATTTTTTAAAAGAAATATTTTACGTATAAAAATAAAAGTTACTTATAGAATTAAGCCTGTATCTTGTTATTAAAAAAATTAATTAATTAATCATCTTCCTCAATTTTAGGAGCTAAATAATACCGAATTTGTCCTAATTCAGCGATTTGATATTCAACTACTAATGGCACATCTCCAGACATTGACAAAATAACCTGCAAATTAAAATTAAAATTAATGAAACAACTTAAAATAAATGCAAAAAAAAAACAATAAAATATTAACTTATATTTAATTTTAGAATAATATCTATTACAAATATATAATTCGCTTGAGAAAAAAAAAATTGAAGCAACTTATCTTAAAGTTAATAAATCTTTTTTTTTGCATTTACCAAATTATGTTAACTCTTGATATATCATTTGGTAGATGGTAATATGTTAGATAAGTCTCAGTCACCTAAATTACCTTAGTCTAAAAATTCACTTTCCAATAGAATTTTCCAAAAATAAAAAGTGAAAAATAATTATAAATCTTTTATTATTTAATTTTTTTGTATAAATTTTAAACTTATTTAAAGTAATTCATTTAACATAAATCTATAATTTTTGGTATGAATTTGATGATTGATTAGTAGAAAAACATTAATATTAAATTAATGTTTTATAATATGTAACCTAGGTGCTTCATGATATTTAGACAAATTTTATAACTATTGATCTACTAAATATTTTGCATTGTTATTTTTTAAATATAATTAATGCATTCTTAAACTAGGTTAAAATCATGTTTTAAATGTTTTCAAAATTAAAAAATAACATGTTTTTAACACTATTCTTACAATAATGATTAATGGGATAATAATAAAACAATTTTATGATAATTAATTATTTTAATAAAAGTATTTTAATGCATAGAGTAGGTATGTAGCTCAATTAGAGTATGCATTATAAATATATATCAGTACGAGTGGTACTGGGCAATTGCAATTTTTCTGTAAGAAAACCTAAAAAGATCGGTTTTAAAATTAAAAAAAAAAAAATTTTTATTATCAAAAACAAATAATAAAATATATAATTTAAATGTAGTCAAAGTAAGTATTATTTAAAAGTAAATTATTAAAAATAAAAAACATATTTAATAGATTCAAAGAACTTAGATCATTCAAAATATTGTAGACCACATCCTTATATGTACAATCAACATATTTTAAAATAATGAACTTATTTAAATATAGTTTTAATTATTTGAAATGCACTTTAAAACTTCAAATGGAATAAGTTGCAATGAATTAAATTAATTTCATAAGTATATTTTAAAATAATTTTCTCATATAAAACAGAAATGTAGGGAAAAAAGCTTTTTCAAAACTTTTTTAAAATCAAGATAAATGATGCAAAAATATTTTAGGAGAGAAAAATTATACTTAGTTCTTCCAAACAAAATTTGACCACACTATGTTTATGCTAAAAACAATTGCAAAATAATAGTAATTCAAATAGGATGTTTAATATATTAAGAACTGAAGATATAATTTTTTAATTGAAGGCACCTCAATTAAAAATCAACTATTGAAAGATGTTATATTTGATAAATTCACAGTAACCATTGGTTTTCAAAACTTTTGATTAAAAACAATAACATAAACAAACCCTAAAATACATTATATTTATTCTTATCATGGTTTCAATAAAAAATATGAGACCAGTTTAAAAAAAAAGAAATAAAACAAAATTTTATGAACACTCTTTCTTCTACACAGTAAATTTTATAACAAATATTTATAATTTTATTTTATTTATAAGTTTGGATATGATAAAATACATAGAAATACCAATTCCCTAAAAATAACCACAAATCAGATTTATCTTAAATTAACTAAGACTTAATGCATCGCTGGCAAAAGTACTGCCTACTTAAGAAAACATGTATGATTATAATCTATTATATTAAGATAATTCCTTTCAACTCATAAAATACAAATAATTTCAATGAAAAACAAGTACCTGAGGTGACAATGGAGCTGCTTTACAAAATAGATTAAGGTAGCGACATGCAAATGTCAGTGATACAGCTTGCGTCATTTCAATAGTAACAGCTTCTTCTTCTTTATCAAATGATGCAGTTTGTGATAATTTAATATTAGCTATAAATTGAAAAATTATATGTTATATTAATTAACCACAAACAAAAAAAAGAAAATAATGAATATCTCTACTGTAAATATACAATATTAGATTTTACCTGATCCAATGTCACCCGAAGTAGAAAACTTGACTCCTTCTTTAGTGCAACAAATGACTACAGATTCGCCAAACTGACTTAAATCTCTACATATTCTGGCAAACTCAGCAGAAGGCATTTTAATGATACATGAATAGTTTGTTTCCTAAAAACAAAATAATAAATTATTAAATTAAAAACAAAACATTGAAAAAATCAACTTACAGGAATACCAAGATGTTCTTGGTCTAAGTTCATAAGTTTCATTTCATAATCAGACATTTTTTCTTGATTTTCAGTTTCAAACATAATAGTTAAAGTATCAGCATTATCTTGAGCTTTTATTGTCATGATATCATTATTGGATGAACATTTCATTATTTTAACCAAACTTTATGAAAATAGATACACTTAAAAAATTGAATTGTTACAAACCAAAATATACTGTTTACCTTTCCAAATTGATGCCCATAGAAAGGTTACGATCACAACGAAATTTATCAAAGCCAGAACTTTTTAGGCACATGGAAACTAAGCTCACGTGAGCATCATCCATGGCTTGTAATTGAATGCCTGAATCTGAGCAGTCAAACGTAGCTTCTTTAAGTAGCTCCTTAATTGCTTCCAAGATTTTTTTAAAATGACCACTCATTAAAAGTCTCGCTTCAAACATGATGAAATATTTGTAACTTAAAGCAGGTAGAAAAAAGAACAAAAGTACAAAAATTAAAATTTTTATGGGATATATTAGACGTTAGATAACAACGCAAATAAAATTTCAAAAAGTAAGTTTTTCAACTATCTAACTCTTAAATAAAAGACGCGAATTCAATAAGTCACTGACAATGAGAAGAGCCTAAGACTTCAGTTTAACTTACGGAATAATGAACATTAAAAATGCAATTGGAACGATCTTTTGGTTTTTACACAAAAGATAATGTGCGTTGTCGTTTATGGCGGGAAAAAAAGCGATACTTGATAATGTTACCAACATAAAAAATTATTATCTCAAAACTTAAAATAAATACCAAAAAAAAGTTTCACCAAAATGCAAAATTTTAGCAAAAATAAAATTATAATTACCTGAAAAATTGTCGGCTCAATGTATTAATAAAATATTAGATATTAATAAAAAATTTACCATTTTATCTCAATCAGAAGAATTAAAAAAAAAAATTGACTAAATGGTACACTTGTTAACTATTATCGTGTTTTTATAATTTTAACAATTTTGTAATGAAGTTCAAGTTGCATACGAAGTTAGTTCTGACATAGTAATGTTGTGTATTGTTGGTATGTTACTTTAACTAAAATTTTAGTGATTGCATTAATCGGCAATATTTTTACTACTCTTAATGAAAATTTTTTATTTTAGTTTTTAATAAAATTCATTTATTACTATAAGTAAAGTTTTTGAATTTAATAATGATAAACTAGTAGGCACTTAAAAAGTAGATATCATTTTTACAATATTATTTAATTGTGTTTAATTATTTAATTATTTAATTTAATCTAACTTCAATGTTTTTTTTTTTTATGAAGAAATGGATTCGGTGATCAATTGGACATCTCAAGCAGTGTCCCATTGGCTTCATAAAAAGGGTCATGGTAAATATTCTCATCTACTAACAGAAGAACATTGTATTGATGGCCGAGCTTTGTTATTAATAAATGAAACTGATTTAAAATCTCCTCCTCTTAGTATTAAAGTATATTTTTCTAAAAAAATAGTTCTATTATATTTGATAATTAAATAAATATTTTAATTTTCTAGGTTTTAGGAGATATTAAACGTCTTATGTTAGATATTCGACAGTTAAAAGTTGAAAATCGACAATCTCTAATACAGCTTGGATATGATCCTATATCGCTACTTTCTAAACCGATTTGTAGTACAAATGTTTATGGTACTCACTTCCGTCCAGATGTAAGTATACTTTTGGGCATAAAATGTATTTTATTAAACTATCAAATTTTTTTCAACATTTTTTTAGTCGGTTTTTTGTATGTTGATTATTTAATTTAAATTTACCACATTAGTAGTGGGTCTAGCTGAGAGGACTTGTATGGGTGTAAAATTATATCCAATTATTATGATTTGAACTCATTAAACTATGTAAATAAAGTATTATATTTGTGAATATTACCATATGATGTAATTATAACTAATTTCATCTTAATTATTTAATAATGTTAATTGTATTTAATTTAATTTATCAACGACAATTATTATAATAAACCAAAAATAAAAAATTATAATTATGTAAATAGTGAAAGATTAATAAATTAATTGGTAGATTGGACAAATTGTGGTAAAAAGGATAAATTTGTGGAATGAATAAATGTTGTTATCTCGAGGGTTCAATATTACTGAACAAATAATGTTAAGTATCCCTATAAATTTTTAAATTTATCTCAATAGTTTATTACGCGATAGATTTTTTGTAGTTCTAAAGTATAAATTAAATTGAACTTACCTTATGTCATGTAATAATGGTTTAAGTAATCCAACATTGATTCTGTGTATTAAATGCACTGCATATATGTTTCACACTATGCATTGTTTAGTTAATATAATGATTTATTAATACCATTAAAATAATTTAAAAAAAAAATGTTTGATGTTTAAATTATTAATAGACGTGTATTTCTATAATAAAAAAAAAATACATGATTATCTAATGAACAAATAAACTTACATTAAAAAATTCACTTAAAAATTTCTAAGTATCATTTAATTTAAATAATATTCTCATTAATAATCAAGATAATCTTGACTAGAGTGTCATAGATTATATGTTTTTTGAAGTTATCTAAAGGACTGGTTTTGACAGGGGAAAATGGCTTTTTATAGTCAGATGGAGATAGTAATGTAGAATTTATCTTTCAGCCTCATTGGACTTCTTTTATCGCATAAGACGCCAGACGCTTCTCTCCACTTCAACTACTTACACTTAATCCTGTCTCTTACATCCTCGTCAATACCACTGCTCTTTTGCACAACTAACTCTAAATACTTAAAACTTTACACCTTTCCAATCACGTCCTCATCTATTGTCACTTATCTCCTTATTTCACCTACCTTGTGTTCTCCTTTGTCAAACTCGTACTCTATATACTCTGTCTTACTCCTACGTATTCTTAAACCCTTTTCTTCAAGAGCTGATCTCAGTGCCTCTAGCCTTTGATAAATTCCTTCCCTATTTTCTTCTATTAACACTATATTGTCAGCAAACAACATGCACCTAGGCACCTCTCTTTGAATTTCTCTTGTACTTTCATCTATCACTATAGAGAATAAATAAGGGCTTAAAGCAAAACCTTGGTTCACTCCTATTCTTACTATAAAATCTTCTGTTATTCCATCCACACTTTTTACCTTGGTACAAATACCATCATTCATATCCTCTATTATATTAATGTACCATTTCGGAACTTTTTTTCTCATTAATGCCCACTTTAAAACCTCTTTCGGTACTCTGTCATACGCTTTCTCCAAATATATAAATACCATACACCACAGCTTTTTCTTCTTTTCCCTAAACTTTTCTATAAGTTGACTCATACAAAATACTGGCTCCATTGTTGACTTACCAGGCATAAATCCAAACTGGTTTTTAGATACCCATGTCTCATTTCTTATTCTCTTATCTATTACCTTTCCCAAATTTTCATACTATGATTCATAAGCTTTATGCCTCTATAATTTCAACACTCCTGTATGTCACCTTTACCCTTAAATATCAGCACCATAATATTATTCCTTCATTCATTTAAAATTTCCCCTTCTAATAAGATTTTATTTTAAAGTTCCTTCAACCACCTTATACCAACACCGCCTAATATTTTCAATACTTCTACTGGCACTTTATCTGGTTACTGTTTTATTCTTTTTCATTGATGCCACAGCCTCCCATACCTCTTTCTCACTAATTAAATCTACTAATCCCTCATTCTACGAGATATTCTCTAATGTCTCTTTTGGATACTCCTCATTCAGTAATTTTTCAAAATACTCTTTCTACCTTTTTTTCACATCTTCATCACTGGAGGGTGATTATTATTATTATCAACATTTTTTATACACTTTATATAATGATAATCTTTAGATCTTTTCTCTCCTATTTTCTATGTTCAAGTAGTAGTCAATGTAGAACAATAAACAAGAGTTAATTTTGCTTTTGGAATAATCATACCAACATTACCTATATGTCTATTCGTATCTTCACCTATCACCGCATCCTCATTGCAAGGTACCCCTTGCATCACCTCATCCATCTCTCTCAAAAACGCTTCCTTGTCTATTTAATCACAATCTACTTTTAGTGCATAGGCACTTACCCCATTCAACATATTTTCCTCAAAATTAATTTTAGGACTATAATTCTGTCAATTTTTCTAACTACTTCTATTACTTTATTTTTCATTTTCTTGTCCATTGTTATCCCAACACCATTCTTTGTATTGGTCTTACCTGAATATATTATTTTATAACCCTCATATATTTCCCTCGATTTCTCTCCTTTCCGCTTAATTTCCTGCACACAACAAATGTTAACTTTTCTCCTCTTCAATACTTCTACTAATTCTCCACTTATACCAGTTAATGATCCAACATTCCAAGTACCTATTCTTAATTTGTATCTATCATTTTACCTTATAAAAATACTAATATTATTGTGAAAAAAAACGTGGGGGCTTAGTGCTATATTTTTCGTATATTAAGCGCTCGACGCTTTTTTCACAATAATAGTAATATTTTTTGTTCATTATTGTTTAAAGCTTATTTTAAAAATTATTTTAAACTTTTTAGTTCAATAAGCTTTAAAAGCGTATTTTTCAGTTTTTTTAAACTATATTTATTTTAATATATATGTGTGTGTGTGTTTTTGGTTAATTTATAGAGTAACCAAAAATAATTAGATTTTTATGATTAAATAGATTTATTTGTCTAGAATTTTACATCTCAAGTATAACTTTTTATTATGATCTAGGGATTTAATTTATATGATGATATTCATATGAATCATGGATCAGATGTTACAGCGACATCTTCACATAGTTCCGAATTTGAAGAAGATAGACGTTTAAAGCCAGAGGTATTATCTGAATATTAATTAAACAGTAGTACTTTCCTAAGTTAAAACATAGTAAATGACAACATTTTAATATTGAGATTATAAATTAAAATATTTGTCATTTTAAGGCATATTTGTGCCTTAAAATTATTTTATTTCTTAGCAAAAATAACCTATAATTTTGTTGAGTGTGGTATAACTAAAGTATACTAATTTTTTAATTAAATGTTTGGTAAATATTTTAAATTTTGATAAATATTTCTTTTATCAAAAATAATTTACCATAAAAACTTGAAATTTATTTTATAATTGATCTTTAACTGTCAAATATAATATTTAAAAATTTATTACTACATTTTAAATAAAATTGTATTAAATAAAATTAAAAAACCCAGCACAGGGGGATTGCGGCACAGTGGTGACGTGGCATAGATGGATCAAGTATAATATCTAACAGTGATTAAAATCACTATAAAAAAAAAACGCTTCAATGCAAATCTTTAGATAGTGTTTAATTTTAAAAAATTGGTGGATTATTCCAAAAGCTACATGATCAACTAGTTCCTTATTAATATCCTAATTAAGATAAAGTATGTCGAATGAAAAAAAGATTATTAAAACATATTATTTCTTATAAAAAAATAATGTTGATCCATACACTTTTCAATATGTCATAGCATTATAAAGTTAAAAATGTAAAAAATAAAGTCGAGAATTTTTACACAATAATAGCATTCGGTAACCATTTTCACCGTGAAGATAAAATAAAGTCCGAACATTTTTTTTTTCCATGATAAAAAGTATATTACATTAAATTTAATTTAAGATATATATAAAAGTGTCAGATTTTCCGGAACACTTTCAAAAGTTAAGTTGAAAAAGTTAATTTTTTGTGAAAAAGTTGTCATTTTAAATCCCCCCCTGTGGGCAAGTAAAGAGTCACATATAAATAATATCATGCATCTTTATAAAAAAAAATTATATTGATTTGGTTATTTTTAAAAATGTTATAGCAATTTTAAGTAAAAAAAATTGAAAAAATTTCGAAAATTAGCGATTTTTAAATTTGTAATTTTTTTTATGGTTTCCCCCATTTACGGGGAACGAGGGAATTTTTTTAAATATTTTAGGTAATGTCTTCGATTATATACGATTTGTGATCTTTTGACGTATCATTGAAAGAAATCGATTCGGTGAGAGCTGAGAAAAAGTGGTAACAGACACAAAAAAAAAAATAAATAAATAAACACATCTTAGTAAAACCAATACCTTCTCAGCTTCGCATCGAAGCTAAAAGAAAAGTATTCTTAGAGAAAAAATTTTTGTTTTAGGCAATAAAGGCATTTAATTTATTTCAAGGGCTTAAAACAGAACCTTAGTGCACTCCTATTCTTACTATAAAATCTTCTGTTATTCCATCCACACTTTTTACCTTGGTACAAATACCATCATTCATATCCTCTATTATATTAATGTACCATTTCGGGACTCTTTTTCTCATTAATGCCCACTTTAAAACCTCTCCTACTCCTACTCTCACCAACAATCTCCTTTGCAGTATTCTTTAAACTTAACAATTTTTTACTCGCTTTACTCTCTCTCTTCCACATAAAATAATCGATCTGAGATCTATTCCTCCCACTCTTCTAAGTTATATAATGTTCTTCCCTCTTTTTAAAATAAGTATTTACCACAGCAAAATCATACGATACTGCGAAATCTAGGATTCTTTTAGCTTCGATGCTAAGCTGAGAAGGTATTGGTTTTACTAAGATGTGTTGTTTTTTTTTTTTGTGTCTGTTACCACTTTTTCTCAGCTCTCACCGAACCGATTTCTTTCAATGATACATCAAAAGATCACAAATCGTATCTAGTCGAAGACATTACCCTTAAAAATTGAAAAAAATTCCCTCGTTCCCCGTAAAAGGGGGAAACCTCCAAAAAAATTACAAATTTAAAAATCGCTAATTTTCGAAAAAATTTTCAATTTTTTTTACTTAAAAGTACCATAACTTTTTCAAAAATGAACATATCAATATAATTCTTTTTTATATAGATGCATAATATCATTACCTTTCATTTGGTATATTTTTTTCATAAATTTAACCCTTAACCTGCCCACAAGGGGGGATTTAAAATGACAACTTTTTCACAAAAAATTAACTTTTGAAAATGTTCCGGAAGGTCTGACACTTTTATATATATCTTAAATTAAAGCTAATGTAATATACTTTATAATGGTAAAAAAAAATTTCGGACTTTATTTTATCTTCATGGTGAAAATGGCTACCGAATGCTATTTTTGTGTGAAAATTTTCGATTTTATATTTTACGTTTTTAACTTTATTATGCTATAACTTTTCGAAAAATTTATGGATCAGTACAATTTTTTCATGAGGAGTAGTATTTATATACATCTTTCATTTGACATACTGTTTTTTTAAATCGGACCATTTCCCTATATACGAGGGGGGTTCAAATCTAAAAAATGCATGTAGAAAGTAGAACTTTTTCAACTTAAATTTTGAAAGTGTTCCGGAAAGTCTGACACTTTTATATATATCTTAAATTAAAGCTAATGTAATATACTTTATTATGCAGAAAAAAATTTCGGACTTTATTTGATCTTCACGGTGAAAATGGCTACCGAATGCTATTATTGTGTGAAAATTCTCGATTTTATTTTTTTATTTTTAATTTTATAATGCTATAACATATTGAAAAGTGTATGGATCAACATAATTTTTTTATGAGAAATAATATTTTTTAATAATCCCTCTTTCATTCGATATACTTTATCTGAATCAGGATATTAATAAGGAACTAGCAGATCATGTACACCCAGAGAAAAACCTCGATCTATATAATAAATTCATTGTTCAATTTGATAAATATATCATTACTATTGAATCAATGATATATTTATCAATATGATATTTTTTTTTCTTGTCTTGAACAATAATTATTTATAAGAATAGTTATTTTGTTCGTATTAATAAAACATTATCATAAACCCTTGATAAAATTTCTCTTTCAATTTTGATTGAGGTTTTTCTTTGGGTGTAGCTTTTGGAATAATCCACCTATTTTTTAAAATTAAACACTATCTAAAGATTTGCATTGAAGCGTTTCTTATGATAGTGATTTTAATCACTGTCAGATATCATTATACTTGATCCAAATATGTCACGTCACCACTGTGCCGCGACCCCCCTGTGCTGGGTTTTTTTTTTTTGTCTGTTACCACTTTTTCTCAGCTCTCACCGAACCGATTTCTTTAAATGATACGTCAAAAGATCAAAAATCGTATCTAGTCGAAGACATTGCCCTCAATAATTGAAAAAAATTTCTCTCGTTCCCAGTAAATGGGGGAAACCTCCAAAAAATTTACAAATTTAAAAATCGCTAATTTTCGAAATTTTGAAATGAACAAATCAATATAATTTTTTTTTTTTTAAATGCTTGATGTCTTTACTTTTAGTATATTTTTTTTGTAAATTTAACCCTTTTACCAACCCACAGGGGGGATTCAAAATGACAACTTTTTCACAAAAAATTAACTTTTTTAACTTAACTTTTGAAAGTGTTCCGGAAATACTGACACTTTTATATATATCTTAAATTAAAACTAATGTAATATACTTTATTATGGAAAAAAAAAAATTCGAACTTTATTTTGTCTTCACGGTGAAAATGGCTATCGTATGCTATTTTTGTGTTAAATTTCTGGATTTTATATTTTACATTTTTAACTTTATAACGCTATAACTCTCTGAAAAATGTATGGATCAATACAATTTTTTTATGAGAAATAATATTTATATACTTCTTTAATTCGACATATTTTTTTTTTAAACTAAATCTAAAAAAATGCATGTAGAAAGTAGAACTTTTTCAACTTAACTTTTTAAAGTGTTCCGGAAAGTCTAACACTTTTATATATATCTTAAATTAAAGCTTATGTAATATACTTTAATATTAAAAAAAGAAATGTTGAACTTTATTTTGTTTTTATGGTGAAAATAGCTACCGTATTCAAAAATATACTATTTTTGTGTTAAAATTCTTAGTTTTGTATTTTATTTTATTATAAGGGGATTACACTGATTTTCATAAATATTATATCAATCTAATTGACATAGTATAAAAAATTAAACATATTTAAATTTTTTTGTTTCTTTGAAGTCGAGAAAAATAACTTTAAAATTTGAACTAGCTAAATTTCCATTTTTATTAAGTGACGAATGAGACGTATGGTTTCTGAGACGGTAACATTTGGGTCTTTCACGCCTGTGGCACTAAATTTTTTCTTAATTCTTTTTGAGTTAGAAAAAAATGTTTAACTCATTTGATTTTTATCTCATTTAGATTCAATAACTTCAATAAATATCAAGGATTTCATTAGTGTAGTCTCCTCTCGTGAGAAGAAATTCATTATAAATATTATTTTACTATGTGGTTTTTTTTTTTGTAGCTATCATTTATTTTCTCATCTCTCACTTGACCTACTTTTTTGACAAATTTTTTTTTTTAATTAAATACTATCTACCGGTTTGCATCGAAGCGTTTTTTTATGATAGTGATTTTAATCACTGTCAGATATTATCTATACTGGACCCAATTATGCCACGACTCCAATGTGCCGCCACCCCACTGTGCTGGTTTTGTTTTTTAAACATATTAGAAATTTTGTGTAATAAAGTATGATAATTCTGTCTTATACATTGAATAAATTGGGGTTTATCTATTAAATACCATTTCTAACCACCAAAAGCACCTTTTGCTGCCGCTGTTCGCATGCCTATGATTTGTAAATTTCTTTACAAGTGCGATATCAGATTATAGGGGAGTGACACATCGCCCAAACGTTTATTAAATATCATTTATGATAGGTATTTTTAGAATATATTATTGACATTTTTTACTTTTTAAGATAATTTTGTAGGCAAATTTATCACAAAGAGATGGAAAAATTCACTACACATGCCCCTAAAAATTATCTCTAGAATAGCTCCATTTTATTTATTTAATTCAATAGCGCCGATATCAAATCATTTAGTGGCAAGTGCTAAAAATTTGAATATTGGTTCATTAATATGAAGTAGAAATATGAGGTTTTTTAACCATGGATGGTTAGTCCGTCGCTGAAAAGAGGGATGGCGACTACAATTACCTAACTGATCTCCCCCTCGGCAAATGAAGCCGTCCGTGACCGAGTTTCCAAACTAAGACATTGCGCATCAAGCATTGCTGCGTTACCGACTCGGCAATGCCGTCTCTCTTTTATTATTATTATTACTAGACAAAATTAATTTAAGAATAGATAAATGTTAAATTAAAGGAATCATTAGGCATTGTAGGATTCGTCAGTGTAACATTAAAATATTTTTAATTTTCAATGTGCTACGTTCAGTTCCAAAAATATTCTTATTAGTTATTCATTTTCATGAATAAGATTAGCCATAATTTTGATTATAAAATTACTTAAATTAATTATTATCAGAAACTAGTTTTAAATTACTCATTCTATGAATAATCAATATTCTAGTATTATATTAGAGACACGTTCTTTTTTTATTTGCTCGAAAACAAGTTTGTACGTACTAACCTTAGATTATCATTCTTCTGTTAACATTGAATACGTGCATATCAATGAGTCAATCTTGATTCTGTTAGGTCATAATTATGTTAATGAATGATAACTGTCAATAATAATTTAAATGTAGATTATGATATGGCGTAATTAGCAATATTAGTAACGCAAATGGATCTTTAAAAAAATTTTGTGGTAAATGATTTACCAAACAAATTACTTTTAAAAATAGAATACATTTGTGCAATAATGTGTTGAAAATAAATAAATGATATAAACATTGGGAACTATCTATCATTAACGAAATAAAATAGATACTTATATTACCAAAAATCTTTCAAAATATCGAATATTTTTCTTTGGCTTAAGCACTAATTTTTTAAAGATAAAAAATTAGGACAGGCTTTCTGGGGAAACTATAAAATGCTTAGCTATACGGAAATTTTTTTTTGAAATCTAATTAAAGCCCAATAATGGCTATTAAAAAATAATCTCCGTGCTTTATTAAAATGAAGAACCACAATCACCACACAGATAAACGACGGAAGAGTTAAAAAAATTACTCTTTACCCGTGAATACCTTTTGATGCTACAAAAGATTATAAGATCATAGTATGATTAGATTAGAACGTTTATACTGTTTCATCTTACCCCAACAAAACATATTTTAAATATTTTTTCTGTATTTTGGCTAATTATAATATTCAATTTTTGCAGGTATGGAAAGCTCTTATTGCAATGACCTATCTTTTCACGGTCACTTGGATAACAGCTTTTGTGATGGTAATTGTACATGATCGTGTACCTGATATGAAAAAGTATCCACCTCTTCCCGATATATTTCTTGATAATGTTCCTTATATATCCTGGGCGTTTCATATGTGCGAATTGACTGGTACTGTTTTGTGTTTCATTTGGTTAACAGTTCTACTCTTCCATAAACATCGCTTTATTTTATTGCGACGTTTTTTTGCTCTTTCTGGAACAGTCTTTTTATTACGATGTATTACTATGATAATAACATCCTTGTCTGTACCAGGAACTCACCTAGAATGTACTCCTCGTACCAAACCAGCATATTTAGAAGGTATGTTTATAGGTTTAACTTTTTAATTTTTTCTTGAAAAATAACATTGCTCACATAAATATATTAAACATGTAATTATTAATTAATTTATAGTTAAATTTGAAAAATCTTAAAAAATGTTCAATTCTCTTTGACTGATTTTGTTGGTTTATGCGCTTAAATTAATTTTGATCTAATGAATCTATCAGTGCTCAAAATTTGAAAAAATTTAAAAATTAAAAAAAACATCTCAAAATTACGGTTGTAAAAATGGAATTTTCAAAAAAAATATTTTGTATTCTAAAAATGTATTTTACTATAAATTAAAAAAATATTGATCTCTCGAATTCGTGATGAAAATCAACATTTTTACAAAAATTAAGTATAAAAAGTTCTACTATCTATATGCATTTTTAAGATTTGAACCCCTCCTGTATTAAGGGAAATAGTCCGATTAAAAAAAAAAGTAAGTCGAATGAAAAAGGGATATAAATATTATTTCTCATAAAAAATTGTATTGATTCATAAATTTTTCAAAAAGTTATAGCATTTTAAAGTTAAAAATTTAAAGTATAAGATCGAGAATCTTAACACAAAAATATAGTTAAAAAAAACTAAAAAACACGCTTTTAAAGCACATTGAACTAAAAAGTTAAAAATAATTTTTAAAATAAGCTTGAAACAATAATGAACGAAAAATACTAGTATTATTGTGATAAAAGCGTGGGTGCTTTGTGCCATATTTTTCGTATATTGAGCGCCCGCTTTTATCACAATAATACTAGTATTTTTCGTTCATTATTGTTTCAAGCTTATTTTAAAAATTATTTTTAACTTTTTAGTTCAATGTGCTTTAAAAGCGTGTTTTTTAGTTTTTTTAAACTATATTTATTTTTTACTTTTTAGTTTCATGTTATGATAGTAGTTATTATCAATATCATGGTTGTAACGGGTAACGGAAAATCAGGGTTCGATTCTAGAGAGGGAGTAAAAAATAAAATCGAGAATTTTCACACAAAAATAGTATTTGGTAGCCATTTTCACCGTGAAGACAAAATAAAGTCCGAAATTATTTTTTTTCATAATAAAGTATATTACATAAGCTTTAATTTAAGATATATATAAAAGTGTCAGTATTTCCGGAACACTTTCAAAAGTTAAGTTAAATTTTTTGTGAAAAAGTTGTCATTTTGAATCCCTTCTGTGGGCTGGTAAAGGGTTCAATTTATAAAAAAAATGTACTAAATAATAGGTAAAGACATCAAGCATTTATAAAAAAAAAACTATATTGATTTGTTCATTTTTGAAAAAGTTATGGCAGTTTTAAGTAAAAAAAATTGAAAAAATTTCGAAACATAGCGATTATTAAATTTGTAATTTTTTTGTTGGTTTCCCCCATTTACTGAGAACGAAGGAAATTTTTTCAATTTTTGAGGGTAATGTCTTCGACTAGTTACGATTTGTGATCTTTTGACGTATCATTTAAAGAAATCGGTTCTGTGAGAGCTGAGAAAAAGTGGTAACAGACACAAAAAAAACACACATCATTGTAAAACCAATACCTTCTCAGCTTCGCATCGAAGCTAAAAAATAGATTTTCTTGTTGTTTTTTTATGGTAGAGAGTTGGAATTTACACTTCTTTTCAAAAAAAAAAATATTACTTTTCATATGAACAGCAAAAATTTCTATTATTTAATTTAACTTAGGTTAAAAAGTTATTATTAGTATTTAAAATAACTAGTAACTTAACTGAATATACAATTAAAACTTAGTAACTTATACATTGTAACTAAGTTTAATTTTTTAATCTAATTTCTTAACATCGCAAGTAAATAAAAATGACTAACTTGCTCAGTCTAAAATTTTAAACAAAATAAGACTAATAGTTTGATTAATTGTAGAGTAAAATAAAAAAATATATTTTTTTTTTGTCAAATTTGACTAATAGACATGTCATAATGTTAATAAAATATTGACTGTTAAAAAAAACAAACAAATAAAATCGAGAATTTTCACACAAAAATAGTATTTGGTAGCCATTTTCACCGTGAAGACAAAATAAAGTCCGAAATTATTTTTTTTCATAATAAAGTATATTACATAAGCTTTAATTTAAGATATATATAAAAGTGTCAGTATTTCCGGAACACTTTCAAAAGTTAAGTTAAATTTTTTGTGAAAAAGTTGTCATTTTGAATCCCTTCTGTGGGCTGGTAAAGGGTTCAATTTATAAAAAAAATGTACTAAATAATAGGTAAAGACATCAAGCATTTATAAAAAAAAAACTATATTGATTTGTTCATTTTTGAAAAAGTTATGGCAGTTTTAAGTAAAAAAAATTGAAAAAATTTCGAAACATAGCGATTATTAAATTTGTAATTTTTTTGTTGGTTTCCCCCATTTACTGAGAACGAAGGAAATTTTTTCAATTTTTGAGGGTAATGTCTTCGACTAGTTACGATTTGTGATCTTTTGACGTATCATTTAAAGAAATCGGTTCTGTGAGAGCTGAGAAAAAGTGGTAACAGACACAAAAAAAACACACATCATTGTAAAACCAATACCTTCTCAGCTTCGCATCGAAGCTAAAAAATAGATTTTCTTGTTGTTTTTTTATGGTAGAGAGTTGGAATTTACACTTCTTTTCAAAAAAAAAAATATTACTTTTCATATGAACAGCAAAAATTTCTATTATTTAATTTAACTTAGGTTAAAAAGTTATTATTAGTATTTAAAATAACTAGTAACTTAACTGAATATACAATTAAAACTTAGTAACTTATACATTGTAACTAAGTTTAATTTTTTAATCTAATTTCTTAACATCGCAAGTAAATAAAAATGACTAACTTGCTCAGTCTAAAATTTTAAACAAAATAAGACTAATAGTTTGATTAATTGTAGAGTAAAATAAAAAAA